AACTTTAAGGATGAGTTGCCTAAAGTATGTTCAAATGGAGATAACCACACATATTGTATAAAATGGTTATGGAGCACAGAAGTGAGGACTAGAAAACACATACTTGGAACACAGATATTCATAAGGTCATTGAAACTGATGAGCTCCTCTTGGGAGAACTCAACTCTGGTGAGTTGTTGAGTTGGAACTGACTCATACAGCTAAGCCTCCAGTTGGTTTTCAAAAGCTGTAATTCACATGCCACGAGACTGCCCATCTTTCCAATGGAGTAGCTGATGGCTTCAAATTTCCACCTTTAGATTGACTGTGCAATTCCTTACCAATAGGCCACCAGAGCTCCCTTAACAAAGAACTAAAAACACTCAAAACCACTGGGTCCAGATGGTACCACAGGGGAAGGCTACCGAACCTTCAGGTATACCAAGTTAAAGAGATTCTGCAGAAATTTTTTAATAAAGCGAAGATAACATTAGTTACAAGTAAACTCATTTCTGATAATACAAATAAAGAAACTGCTAGGCCAATGTTACTTCTGAATATAGATACCAAAACAATCAATTCCCCCCCAAAACCACAAATCAAAAAACCACAGAACAAAAACATCAATGATCTATTAACAGAGTCCAAAGCCATTAACAAGATAATACATCAGGACTAACTCCAGGATTGCATGAGTGACTCAAATTAGGAAATTCATTAACATAATAAACAAATTTCAGATATTTGAGGGAAATTATATCATTACCTCCATAGATGCTGAATAGTCATTAAAACACTCAGTACCCATTTCTGATAGGAAGAGAAAAAACCCCAAAACTATAGTTAGGAAAACCTTAGAAAGCAGTCCTAGCAGCAGATAATCAAGTAAAAGGTCACAGAGTGAGTGGTACAGATTTGTTAGGTGCCATTGAATCAACTATGACTCAGAGCTGCCTATGAACAAGGGGTCTGGACCCTGTCCTATCCTGTGCCATCCTCATCATCTCAGATTTACTTAAGCCCATAGTTCTAGTCACTGTGCCAATCTATCTCATTGAAGGGCTTCCTCTCTTTCCCTATCATTTCCAAGCATGATGCCTTTTTCCAAGTACTGATCCCTCCTAATAACGTGCCCTAAGTATCTGAGAAGTTTCATCATCCTTGCCTCTATGGTTGCACTTTCTCCAAAACATGTTTTGTTTGTTCTTTTGTAATTTCATGACATATTCAGTACTTTTCTCCAACAACACAACTGAAAGGCATTTACTCTTCTGTCATCTTTATTCATTGTTCAACTTCTAGATCCATAGCAAGTACTTAAAAAGACAATGACTTGGATCCAGCACACCTTAGTCTTTGACATCCTTGCTCTTCAGCACTTTTGAAAAGTCCTTCACAGCAGATTTTCCCAATGCAGCATGCCATTTAATTATTTTTTTATCCTTTTTCTTATTAATTGTTATACATTTCCCCCTCTTTTCTTCCCATCCCCCAGCCCAGCTCACAATGCACTCTTTGTTCCAGATTGTTCTCACACATATAATGCATAATCATATATTCCTTTTGGACAGTTCTTCCCTGCATCTGATCTAATGCAGTGTTCATTATCTACCCACTCTTTCTCCATTCCCTCTCCAACCCTCTGCCATCCCCCCCATATCTGTCCTATTTTATAACAGTGGTATTATGGAGTATTTGTCCTTTTGTGACTGAGAGATTTCACTTAGCATAATGTCCTCAAGGCTCCCCCATGATCTGTAATGTTTTACTATTTTATTGTTTTTCAACGGTATGTAGTATTCCATTGTGTAGATGCGCCAGTTTTTCTATCCATTCGTTTGCTGATGGGCACCTGGGCTGTGCCCATCTCTTGGCTATTGTGAATAATGCAGCAATAATCATGAGTGCATACATCTGTTTGAGTTGTGGCTCTGGTTTCTTTAAGTTATAAACCCAGTAGTGGAATTTCTGGGTCAAATGGTAATTCTATTTCCAACTTTTTGAGAAAGCACCAGACTGACCATAGTACCACCAGCAGTATATAAGAGTGCCAATCTCTTCACAAACTCACCAGCATTTATTGTTTGCTGCCCTGTTGGTCTTTGCTATTGTTGCTAGGATGAGATGCTATCTCGTAGTTGTTTTGGTCATTTAATTTTTTGATTGCTGGTACCAAGGGCTGATTGTGAATCCAGGTAAAAGGAAATGGGCAATTTCAATCTTTTCTTCATCTATCAGCACATTACCTATCAGCCCTGTGGTGGGAAATTTTTGTTTTCTTGACATTAAGATGTAATCTATATTGAAGGTCATAGTCTTTGATCTTCTGTAGCAAGAATGTCAAGTCTTCTTCACTTACAGCAAACAATGTCAGAAGCCAGACACAAGGCTGTTCCGTATTATCTGTATGTTTGCTCTTAGGGGTACAACACTTATCTGGCAGTTTGTTTTATTGGGGTACAGACTCAGAAATCCAAAACCAGAGCCCAGAACATATGGAAATTTGGAAAGGGTTAGAGGAGGCATTTTCAATCACTGGTAACACTGATCAAGTGAATTGCTATTTGGGAAAAAGAGAAAATTTTATCATATTTATCTTAGAGTATAATTCTAAAATTGATAAGAAATAAAAAAAATTACAAAAAGAAACAAAGTTTCAGTACACATTTTTAGAAGAAAACATATGTTATTCTTTTATCATTTGATGTGTGAAAAAGGATTCTATTATTAAAAATCTAGATGTAGCAACAACAACAAAGTATGTCAGTTGGTACTAACTATAGAAAAAGCAGGCAAGGAGGGCAGGGGATGTTGTTGTTGTGTGTCGTTGAGTCAGAACTGACTCACAGCTGACTCTCCAGCAGGCTTTCAGAAGCAATAAATTGCAAAGGGGAGATTATCCATTTTCCTCTCATGGAGCAGATGCAGACTGTGTACCTTGGCGCTGATAGCCCAATTCCTCACCATTAGACCACTAGAGCTGAAGAAGAGCAGTCATAGGCAACCTTCTTGAAAAGTTGACATTTAAGCAAAGACTAGACTAAGTGACAGGGTAAACCACAAAGATATGAGGAGTAAGAATGGTCCAGGAAGTGCAAGTCCAATGTGTTGGAACATGTCTGATTCTGGCAGAGCTGGAGCAGTAAGAGAGAGGGAGAGTAGAAGGAGGTGAAGTTAGGAAGTGAGGGGGCAAGCGACAACACTGGCCTTGCAGAACATTTTTGACCTTTGATGATAACTGGGAATAATGTAGGAAACTCTGGCGGGTTCTGAGCAACAGAGTGATGTGGTCTGACTCACGTTTTTAAAGTCTCAGCTAAATGCAAAATGACCTGAGAGTGCTCTCACTTTGAGATAATTTATAAAGTGATTCTCAAACTGACCCCTTAGGAATCCTGCTTTTATAACTTCACATGCCAGTGACCATTTCTTCTTATTTGAAGCTATCTCATCCAAGACAGTGTCTGCAAATAACAGCTGGATGATCACCAAAGAACCATCCAGCATGGTTTTGAAATGAGAGGTCGCCTTTGGCAAGCCTTTCTGTCATGCCCTCATCTTTGAAGATGAAAGGCAGCAGGAGAGAGGTTGGAGGGCAGGCAGAAGTTAGAATCCAGGGAGGTGATAAACAAGTCCTCTGTGCTGTTAAGTCGAGCAGAGTGTGGTTCTACACTGTAACGTATGAGATCACCATGAGTCAGAAATGACTCACTGGCAATTGACAACAATAAAGAAGCTGGCAGAGCAACCTTCATGCCGGAAATGAGGTGCACACTTGGAGGTGGAGAGAGGGAGGGCAGGTTCAGGAGGAGACCAGCAAGGGCAGAGAATCAGAAGATGATCAACAATGCAGCAGTCAGTGAGTTACAAAGAAGGAGGAACCCTGTTTGTCATTACTATAGAGGTTTTGTTTACTCCCATTTTTCTAAAACAAATCTTTTGAATGTAAATCTTTCATTGATGGGTCCATACAGAGGAGAAGCTCTGCAAAGGCTTCTTTTGGGGTTGCTAACTGAAAGGTCAGCCATTCAAATACACCAAACATTCCACAAGATAGAGACAAACAATGTCCTCCAGGAGAGATTTGCAGTCTTGGACAGCTCATGGAGGCCATGGGTTAAAATAGAATCAAGGGCGGTGGGCTGGGCTTGGTTTTGGCTCTCTGTGGGACTTGGTGGGCTTGATGGTTTTCAGCTCTGATCTCAGCAATGTACCTCTAAAACAAGTAGGAGTGAGACTTCATTTGAAGAGGGGGTCTGAAATTTGGAGGCATTTCTTAATATCTTCACTTACTGCTTAGGACCTTGGTGACTGGAGCAGACACCTCAGGGTGAGCCGGGAGACCCTCTAGTCCTTCCTCCTGGGCTGCTGTGCTGCATGTTTGCTGCACTTTGCATGCCTTGGAGAGTCAAAGGCAGAGGATGCAGGAGGGCAGGAGGGGATCGTAAAAAAGAAGAGAGAACAGAAATCAACTCTCATTTCCCCTGCTAACCCTTTTAGTTCCTATTTATGACCATTCTTTGAATGGAATGGGAAAAAACAAGATGGGAGACCACTGTCCTATCAATGGAGAGCACCAATCCCCCAAAAGCAAAACTAGCTTTATGGCACAACAGAAGAGAAAGAATCAAGGCATAAATTAGAGCCTTAACATTGGCAGAAACTCCGGAGCACCAGGATTTAGTAAAATGACAGAGGGCCAAAATATGACAAAGTTGTAATTGGGAGACAGGAAGTGACACTATTTCTCACAGCCACATATAATAGAAGGGAAAGTAGAGAGATTAAGAGAAAAA